CTCATATCTGGTGCACCCACCATTACAAGCCACCATTCAGACAAGTTTGAGGAGTACTGCAAAGAACACAACATTATTACGCTTTGTATGCCTGCTCACTCTTCCCATATACTTCAACCACTTAATGTTGGCTGTTTTGGCCCATTAAAGAGAGCTTACGGTCGGCAAATTGAAGATATGATGCAGGCTCATATTATTCACATTACTAAGGATGACTTCTTTCCTGCCTTCCACGCTGCATTTAACATTGCAATGACAGAAAGCAATATTCAGGGAGGGTTCCGAGGTGCTGGGCTTCTTCCATTTAGCCCTGAGAGTGTAATATCTACACTTGACCTTAGGTTTAAGACGCCAACACCTCCAACCTCTCACCCAAACACCGCTCAACCATGGGTTTCTCAGACACCAAATAACCCAACTGAAGCTGTATCACAGTCTACTTTCATTAAAAATTGAATTGCGCATCATCAAAATAGCTCTCCAACCTCAATCTATGCAGCTGTTGACCAGTTTACAAAGGGTGCATCGCAAATAATGCATCAATTAGCATTGTTAAAAGCAGAGTTCCAAAACCTGCGACAGGCAAATGAAGTGCTAAGCAAGCGCCGGAGAGCTAAAAAAACACGACTACAGCAAGGAGGATCACTTAGTCAACAGGTAGCACAGGAGCTACAGGACGAGAGGGACGTTGTGCAGCAAGTAGAGCAAGAAATAAGGGCAAGTAGTGGTCGGAAGCCAAGGGAAGAAACCCATGCACGTCGCTGTGGCAAGTGTGGTGAGACTGGACACAATGCGCGCACTTGTCAGATTGTAATAGACAGGTCTGAGGAAGAGGACTCCGAGTAGTTTTATTAATTTATATTGTTGTGGTGGATTTATCGCAATTCTTATGGGGTAGTCGCGATATTTTGGCACTTTCGCTTGTTTGGCACTTTCGTTATACATGCACGTTATACTAGATAATTACTTAGGCCACGTGATTCTAACATCATGTGATAAACATGCTTACGTAATATTTGACTATTTGAATAGTTATGATTAACGTACTTCATAAGTAAGCTGCGCATACAAGTAAGCTGCGCATACAAGTAAGCTGCGCATACAAGTAAGCTGCGCATACAAGTAAGCTGCGCACACCCCACCAAAATCATGGCTTTAGGAACTAATAATTCAACAACAAATTAAGATTACTATTATTAAACCAATCTAATTCGAATTAACCCTATCTGGGCACGTACGGGCCGTGTGTTCAAGTGATCTGCAAATACTACACATCCGTGGTGCGCGGATTTGTCGCTTTTGAGCCCCACCTGTAGACTGACCCGTACGCTCTATATTTGCAGCTACGGATCGATCCAAGCCCTCCTGGACTGTCAAAACACCTCCCGTAGCAATATACGACCTCCGTACAGCTCTCTTCTTCTTCTGGCGTTCGTTCGCGGCCCGTAGCTTCTTGTTTTCATCCGCAAGGAGGACTGCAGAATGCATAGCCATTTGACAGCCCTTAACTAACTGCCGAACTGCACGATCTGTAGGACTTGAAGACCCGGCCGTACGGCGTTGTACAAAGTCTCCAATTGCCTTAGCTTGAGATTCTAGCTCTTGTATATTGTGTGGCGTCTCTGGGACCCAAGGCGCTTGTTCGGTCGTAGGAGGAGGAGGAGGGGTAGGCGTCCGTAATTGAGTATTAAGCTTTGAGAGAACACGTTCTGGGTCGTACGGGACCAATCCAGCAGCTACGAACCCGCTACGGATTGTACGTGAGGTTAAAGCTTCCGTACGGGCCGTAAAATAAGCTTGAAGGAAATCAGACTTATCAATATGATTAACTCCAGCCCGCATAAGATCTTCAATTTGTCGCCCGTATGACCGTTTTAGGACCGCAAAACAGCTCACATCAAGAGGTTGAAGTAAATGTGAGGAATGCGGAGGCATACAAAGAGTAATGATATTACGGTCCTTGCAAAACAAGTCAAATTCAGCCGTAATATGACTTCCATGTCCGTCAAGAATAAGAAGTCGATATACTCCTTCCGTACGATCCTTTGTATGTTTTTCGAAGACGTCTGTAAGCCAAATAAGGCCTAATTGGTCCGTAGTCCAGCCGTTATCACTAACCGCAATTTCCCAATTAGACGGTAAAGCGTTTATATACCAGGTAGAGATATGGAGTTTGCCTTTAAGTATAATCATTGGAGGAAGCGACCAACCGTCCGCATTAATACACTCAATAGCCGTAGTCCATTCGCGGTTCCCAGGTTGGACTGTTACGGGCCGTGACGTACGATCAGAGGCCGTAATGACTTTTGCGGTCGAAATCACACCCATTTGAAAGCCCGTCTCATCAAAGTTATAGATATCCACGTCCCGGATTCCATATTTTGCAACTGTATTTCGTACAAGTCGGAACCAGTCTCGAATAATAGTCGGGTCTTCACATAAGGCACGCTTGTAATCATATTTGCGATTATAACAAGCCCGTAAAGAGTCATGGCGTCGTACGAAGTTATATGGCCATTGGACGCCAACTTGTTGCGGAGGAGACGCGTCCGTACCGGTCCGTTTTTGAAGTAATAAGTTAGCCATATCTCGAATTGAAGCCGTACGAACTGGTAAGCCTCGCTCATCCATAGATAAGATCCAATTAACAAGCGTTAATTCTTCCGTATCCGTAAGTTTGAGGTTTGTAGACCGTATTTCATTATGCGGACGCGTGCCCTTCAAGCGCGTCCGTAATGTCGATTCAGGTACGTCGTACGCGTCTGCAGCACCACGAATGCTTGTAAAATAGCCTGATTTATATGAATTAATCGCAAGAGCTATTCGGCCCTCTTTGGAGGCCAATTGGGCACTATTTGGTTGAGGCATGACTGGTTGAATAGGGTAGATTTCGTGATTTTGGTGGGGTGTGCGCAGCTTACTTGTATGCGCAGCTTACTTATGAAGTACGTTATTAGATTATTTGTGCTAACCCTGTGAAGATCCGGATATAACCCGTATCTATCCGTCAGACCTCAGACGGATCATGATCTTACCCGTGAGGGCTCAGGATCAGATCCGGATACGATCCGCCGAACACTGCAAGAGTAAGTTTGATTTTGGTGGAAATTATGAATTGAAAAACATCTTCTAATTGCAATTGAATGTAACCCCTCGTGCTGGTAGTTAATTACACCCATTTTCCGTACCTCTCCCATTATCGTTACAATACTGTATGTGTCATAGAGCATCTATAATTCTTCATCGGCTTCGTCATCATCATCTTCTTCGTCTTCATCCCCTCCACCACCACCTCCACCTGCCTCATCGCTATCTTCCTCGCTACTCGACCCAGAACCCTCACTCTCCCCCTCAGTGCCAGGGTCATAATCTTCTCCCTCGGTCCCCTCATCTTCCTCATCAGGCACTTCCTCTCCCATCTCCAACTCAGCTTTCTGTAACTCCCCTGCATCTCCCACATCGATTTTCGACCCGTCTTCTCCCTTGACCGTGTTGATCCCCAGTCTCTTTGCCTTCCTCTGATCAGCCATACTAGCATCCTGCAAACCGTGGCGCTTCACATAAGCATCAATGCCGGCAAAATCCTCTTGGTCGAGCATCCCGAATTCGAATTCCTCGTTTTCCTCCTCATACGTCCCATCGGATTTCTTATATCGGACATCGACCTCGATCACCAGATTAAATGTCCGCTGTAGCACGTTGACATAGCTTACTGCCACTATTTGCTCTTTGGGCAGGAATATTAAAGGCTTCTTAAAACCCCACAGTATTCCACCTGGCAGAAAATATAAGTACCCATCCTTGCTGCCTCGGAAGGCCTTCACATGCACCGCTGGATTATTCGGCTTGTATGCCTCCTTCCCCGCGCTGGAGAAGACCTTCCAATTAGCTTCGACGATAGAAATATTACGGCCATTCGCCTTCAGCTGTTGGTTGATAAAAAAGTCGAAGAGCGTCTTGTGCTGGTCAGAGACTGCGGAGGCTGCACTGAGAGATTTGCCCGAAATGCTTCCCGATTTGAGCGCTGTGGATGGAATTGTGAGGACGAGTGGGTCAGGCGGGTTTGGCCCATATTGAGCGTGTCGTGGCGTGACAATATGTGCGTCTTTGAGGAATAAGATGTAGTTGTACTGCTTTTGCGCCTTTTCGGGGACCGTGAGGCAGAATGCGTGGCCTATCCTCCGGTTAGAATTTTCGACGAACAGAATTTCAATATAGTGTCACTGACTTATGTCCTTCCACGGGTATGTTGTTCCAGGGACAAGTTCGTCTGTCTTGGGGTCTCGCGCTTGGATATGGTTCTTCGTAAACTCAATCGTGAACTTCTTACGCAGAGGAACCACCATAGAAATCTCCTTCACTTGTAATAACGCCTCATCATTTGCATGGTCGAATCCATTGGCGATTTTAGCTAGCGGTTGGGTGTCGGTGGCTTCCTTCTTTGGTTGAATAGGCAATCCCTCCTCAAGCTTCCGCTTCTTAGACGCCGGGTCCGAGGCTGACGGCTCCAATCCTAGTCGTAAATTGACTATGTAAGACGAGATCTCATTAAAGAGCTCTGCCCAGGCCGGGGCAGCTGTATTAGGTCAGCTGAAGCCCATACCATGTTGCACCTGTAGTTCACGACGTATGAAGTCATGCGTTGAGGGACGAGAAGAAATCATATGTATCTTACTAGCTGCGGCTTGTATCGCGCCAACGATATCTGGCCTATCTTTGAAGGCTTGTTCTAGATTTGACTGGTCTAGTGCCCGACTCATGTTGTCGAATTTGTACGTTTGTGGCGATTTGCCGGAGGAAAACAAATGCAGCTTGAAATAATGACGCCCTGGCTACGCGCAGCGCGTCCTTATCGCCGGCCTATCGTGCTGTACGTACATTTCCACCATATAAAGAAAGGACCGTGGTGAAGCCCAAGGGTCTGAAAGGAACTGCACATAATAAGTAAAATAAAAGATTTGAATCAGGCGTAATTTTCTGTGTTAACTACCTAAATAGAGCTAAAATAAAAGATTTCTATTAGTTTAAATGCTTGTATCTTGAGAGACAATTAAGAGATAAGTTAGCTATAAATAATATCGCACGTGCTATCAGTACTACTACGTACGTACGGTGGGCAATATGCCGTATCGTGCCAACAAACCCTTGGCCCCCGCAGTAGATATACCTTCGACCTCCGCCAAACCCCGATCAAAGTGAGAAGTGCAACAATTAATATAACCCCCTTGAAACAAGAATACTTGAACTATGGCGTTCCCCAACATTTACACCCACAGGAAAGTGGCAGATACAGCATCAAAGCCATGTGATATCTGCTTCAAACCGAGCACCAGCGTGCTCGTTGTCCCTGAAAACAAGGTAGGGTCGTTACCCAACACTTCGATACTATAGCTAATGTGCAGAAGGACTTCTTTTTCGTTTGCCCTGGCCATTTGAAGGATAAGGGCTTCTGCACTCCTATCATAGATGAAGCTGCAGTGGCTGCCAAGAAGAAGAGGGAGATTGAGGACGAGGTAGAGAGGGTTAAGAAGGAGTTTGAGGAGAAGCAAAAGAAGAAGAAGGAGAAGGAAAAAGAGAAGGAGAAGGACAAGGACAAGAAAGACGAAGATAAAAAGGAGAAGGGCGAAGAGAAAAAGGAGAAGGGCGAAGAGAAAAAGGACGACGACACGGTATGAGATGCACTCCTATCACGTGAACTCTTAAAGCATGCCTAACCATGCACAGAACAAGCCAGACACTACATCACAAGAACCCGAAGAAGAACCCCGAGTCTTCGCTCTCCAAAAGTAATCTCCCCCAAACTAGAAGCTATATTTTACGTACATCTAACGTTTCACAGGGCCTTCTACCGAAAACGCCTTGACCGCAAGCGAGCAGGGGAAATCGCAAAACGCAATCGCGAACGTTTCCAAAACCCAAACCTCTTCCCCAGCGTTCCCAAAGACATCCGCTGAAAATACCACCCCAACCCTACTCCAAAAACCGAGCCTGGATACGATATATGAAAACCCCCACGCCATACCCAAGTTTTCCCCAGCCCTGCGAAGAAGTCCCAAGACATCAATGTTCGTTCGCGCTAACTGTGCAACTGCCCCACACCTCCACAACAACCCCTCCGGACATGAGGTTCTGCATTACCTTCCCATTTCGTCGAGCCGGTCCGTCCCAGGAATGCAACACGCCTTGCTCGCGTGCCCCGCACATGCCAACTTCGGCGAGTCCGAATTGACACGTCAGTGCACATATGCCGCCCTCTGCGCAAATCGCGGTGGGAGAAGGCTGTCAGCACTCTGCTGACTGCTGCCGAGCGCCGTGGCATCCTTTATGAAGACTGGGATGGCGGGCAAATACCGGTGGAATCATGTACTGTTCTCGTACCACGGCCTTGGAAGATACTTCCCCAAAATAGACGCGGGATGGCGCCATCCTAAAGTGAGAGTCTGACTTGAATCTTTCTGGAAGCCGGCGAACGACCCGGGATAGAGCCTTGCTACCCATGCCCACCTCAGATGATCTCAATCACGCCCAGAATACGAAGCCTTACTCCTCCTCTCACATCTCGATCCAACCCCCCCCCTCCGATCGCCCCTCCATCCCTCCGTCCCCCTCACCCACGACCGTAAGTCGCCACGCCACAGCATCAGTCATACCTATACTCCCTTCGCCACTCGCGCCTGCCCTTCACCACTCACGCCTCCCCGCGCTCGAGCCACACCCGAGCTTAGTGCTTACCCCTCATCCCTCCGTCCCTACGCCACCAGCCAGCCTCGGTATTCTGTCCTACGACATCACCCTCAACTCACTCGTAGCGGGTTCTAAACCGGGGACCCAGGCGGACTTGCGGTAGAGCAGGGGAAGATAAGCGGAGGAGGGCAGATATGCCTATCCCCCATCCAGCGGCATCGATTGCTTGTAGCAGTTACGCACCCCCATTGGCGGCAGTGGAAAAGTTAGTCCGCGCGGCGGCTCGGTGACGATGGAGTGTCGGTTTGGGCGGGGCGTAGGGGAGTAGGGGGGTTCGGTAGTCCGGAGATGGGTGTGTGGGGTTGTAAGGCTCATCTCATCTCATAGAAGGAATGGAAGAAACGGAGCCCCCATCTGCCGGGGTTTTTAGAAACCAAAAAAAGAAGGAATCCTTGCGCATAACGGCTTTATTGCGGATCGACCCTCGGTGTATCTGCCCGGGGCCCTTACACTACGTAACCACTTCTTCGGTCTTTAGGGGATCAGGGGAAGAGGGGGGCTTCGGGGTTCCGGGTTCCTTGATACAGGGCTGACGGGGTGGTTTCTTAATACGTTTAGGGGTGGATGTGTAATAGAATTCTATTATCTTCCGGGCGTATGGGGGTTTCGGTTAGTTCGATGCTCAGATGCGCAGGTTCATGAAACGTGGTGCTGTAAATGGTAGTGTAAAATGGCATGATTGAGGGAGGAGGTTTCTCTATCTCCCCTCACATTATCTATCCATCCATATATTCATCCCTCACCGACCAAGCCACTCGGTAGTCGTGTCTCTCTTATCCCTCATGCCCCGTGCTTCTTTCCCAGCACCACGTGCCTCACTGCCTATATCACCCACCAAAGTGTATAACCTTCTCATAACCGTCATCGACAGACTCCCAGCGCAAACCTGCGCTCTTTTAATCCAAATAGCCCCCCCTCCCTGCTCAAAACAAGCAAGGTCCCATATAACATGCTCCAGTATATGCAGTAATCGTTCGTTCGTTCGTTAAGAAGCTGCTTTGCTTCGTAGATGAGATGCTAACCAAAAAGCCATCATAAAAATAAAAACTCCAAATATGAATGAATCTTCCTGTCCTTATGCCGCAAAAAGCTGTTTGCCCCTAGCCGGTCTCCTCGCCCTCTGAAAATAGTCCCCTGTGAATTTCGGTGTTGCTCAATCTCTTTGGTTCTGGTTCCATGGTCTATCTGACCGTCTCATCTACCATTTTTCTTGTTATTCCTCCTCCTCATTGATCCTCGCCACCGGCAGCGGCTCATCCCTCATACACGCATTCTCCAGCATATTCGTCCACTTCCCGCTCGTCCCCGCATGACTATGCTTAAGATGCTGCCTAAAGTGATCCGCGCGAAAGAACTTCTTCGTATGATTGCACTCGCGGAATTTATGCAGATCAACCAGATGCTGGATCCTGGCCTCCCAATCGCGCTCCGTCGGCACCTTGCCCTCCTGCCCATTCCCCAGGATCCCGTGGCCGCTGCGCGCGAACTCGTCGCCGCAGTAGCCGCAGGTGTCGGCGTCGTTGGGCGCGGTGGGGGAGGTGTGGAAGGCGTCTACGTAGCCCGCGAGCGCGGCGCAGGACCAGGAGTGGCGGCGGAGGTGGAGGGAGTTTTGGTGGCGCTCGGCTTCGTTTTTGTTCTTGAAGCGGTTCTTGCAATATGCGCATTCGTACTGCTTCTCGGACTCGTGGGCACTGGGGATGTGTTAGTAAGCAATGTGATGGGAAATAAGGAGTTTGGAACTTACGCTAGTGCTTCCTCCGTGTCGAACTTTTTGGGCTTCTTGGGACAGCAGTCGCACACATATCCGCTCTGGACCTTCAGGATGTCATTTTTGGGCTGGTTGACGGTATCCAGAGACTTATGAGCAGAGACAATAGGCCTCGAATCAGAGATAGCCCTGTGGGGGTGTCGTGGGTGCTCGAGAGGCGCACTAGTAGCAGCCAGAGACATGGAAAAGGGCGAATCATGCCCATCCATCGTGCGGGGAGAAACAGCGCCAGGGTAATAGGTATCAGTAGAATATCCAAGAGGCGAAATAGCGCCAGGAGAACGACCCCCAGGCGAAAGTCGGCCGTAAGAATCAACAGTGCTCATGCTGCTAGCAGCTAGCGAGGGAACAGAATTTAATGATGCGCTTCGAGGTCCAGAGGTAGACGAAGAAATAGATCCGTGGTCGGAATGATTCCGCGGAGCTGGCGAGGCACGGGAGGCTTGCTCCCTCCTCCTGTACAAATCTGGTGGCCCGTCATCAACGGGAGGCGATGACGCCCTCCTCTTCTGTCCAGCAGCTGCGCTCAGTGGTTGCCCATCTGATCGCCTCATCCCGTCGTCGATATGAAGGCGCTGGAAACCCGTCTCCTCCATGGGAAAGTCGGACTCGTTATCCGTGTAGTGGCTGCCTTGATATGAATAGCTAACCGTACTGAAAGCGTCGTCAAAATCGTGGGTCGTTTGCCTGCTATACGGCCGTGGAGATTGCTCCGTATCGTCCCGTTCACTCGGTGATCTGTAGCCATATTGCCCCCCATTACGCATACTTGGTGCAATGGGTGCTGAACCTCCACTCGCCCCCCTAGAAATTGGACTTTCCAAGGGACTAAGTTTTGGGTTCATTGCTGGCAGAGATAAAGGCTTCTGGTGAGACAGCCCATGCTTCTGGCCCAGCGGCGACGATGGCACGCTGTCGTTGAAAGATTTGCTGAAAGGCGCCCTTCCGTAACTTCGGGGGGATGTTGAAATATCACCTCCCCTTCTCGAGTTGAGCTTCTGTAGTACGGATTTGTCATATGTCTGTGTATTGGTCCGGTATTTCTCGTGTACTGAACTTTGGAATCCAGGTCTCCGAGGTATCGAATATTCATGCCTTGAACTATAGATACTAATATTAGCAAAGTTCTCGCGTATTTCAAAAGTCCCACTGTCCACGAAGCTCAACACATAAACTTGACGGCGCCGCTAATGCATTTTCATAACAGTATACCAAAACCAGAGAGCAAGAAATCCCATTAACTTACTTGGTAGAGCCTATGCTTCCGCATGTAGAAAGGCTCGCATAGCCCTCGTCCACCTTCGGGCACGAGCTATTGTATGAGTCGACTCCAGATATGGACTTTATGGTAGAGGCAGAACTCCCACGACGATATTCGACAGAGTCCATGATGCCATTCCCATAGCCCGAAAGGCTTCCGTATAGACTCGAACCCGATTTTACAGAAGATGGTTTCCCCCAGCCATGTTCTTCTCTGGAATTGCTCCATTCCCAACCCGGATCAACTGTCCTCGCCCCACTGCCTTCTCGCTCATGATTGACGTATCGCGGTGGCGGTAACGGTGGCGGCGGCAAATCGTCCCCCCGCGCGTTCGGTATCGACATAGGGCTGGCAGAGGAGGGTGGAGAGGATCCCAGGGTGTTAGGGCTTGATCGAATTGTCATGGCCTTCCTCTCGGACGGATTCGAGGTCTGTATGTATATTTCGGGCAGCGCAAATGCCAAGCGATGCGCCGACGCATAGCGAGGGATTTCCATGATGATCGTACGTCTTTTCTTTGCCACGAGCTGAACTGTGCAGCATGTGGAGGCGACGGAGGAGGCTGGCGCGTCTCCTATTCCAGAGTGGCGACAATTCACGGACTGACCGAGAGAGCAGGAACCATGAATTGTATATATATCCAGAAGGCATAAACGTTAAAAAAGAAGCAAGAAATAAGGCGATGCGAAATGAAGTGAATAGTCCCGTCTATGGGGCGACGAGTTAGCCTGGTGTTTATGTCATTTCATCAGCCGCCTTGTCGAGGTTGCTTTGGAGAAGGCTGAAAATGAGAGGGTCGGCGGGATGGTACTGTAGGGGTTCGGTACTTCGGCGATAGGGTGACAAAAGGTATCAGAAATCGGAACCTCGCCCCAAATGTCTCAGGGTTTCCTCAGTGCCACTGAGATAGTTTGAGACTTGGGAAGAATAGGGGATTTGTAGGAGTGTGGAGATGGAGTAAAAGGGCCGTATAGTCGTATACGTAGTACTGGAATAGGTAGTTTTAGGTGGCATATGAGGCAGACAAGACAATGACCCCGAAAGAACGGCTTGCGTAGGGATATAATATAATCAGGGGTCTTTTGAACATGGTATGTGATTGTGTGTAGGGGTGGAAGTGGAGAGAGGGAGGGGAGGGGTAGGGTAGGGGTAGGGTAGGGGGTAGGGTAGGGGGGGTAGGGTAGTGGGGGTAGGGTAGGGGGGGTAGGGTAGGGCGGGTAGGGTAGGGCGGGTAGGGGAGGAGGTAAGTTCGAGGTGGGGAAAGGGAATGGGGGAAGGAGAAGGAAAGGAAGCGAAGTGGAGATACTACAAATTGAATCGAGGTGTAGTGGGAGTAACGTAAGTCGTGGCGTGGCGTAACTAGCAAATTTACATCGCCGACTAGTATTAAAACCCTTAATAACTGTTTAAGTAGGCTATGTAGAATATAATGCTTTGTATTGGAAACTTTATATACACACACATGCGACTTAGAAAATTTAGCTTGTAAGCTAGCTATATAAGGAAGTTACCAACGATAGATTTGCTATACTAATATTTTGTATGGCAACAACTTAACCCTTTAATAACTTATGCAAAACAACGCTAATACTGCTATAACTTTCACATGTAATAGAGTACTTATATAGGTCCTATATGTAAAGAGGAATATGATTTGGTAATTTTATTAATGGAGTTATTTAGGTTTGAAGTTGTTGGGTTTAAGTACCATTACTTACAAGTTTAGCTGCAAAGGTACAGCCCCTCGTTACGCCATTCCACTCGTTACGCCATTCCACTCGTTACGCCATTCCACTCGTTACGCCATTCCACTCGTTACGCCATTCCACTCGTTACGCCACGACTTACTTACGTTAGTGGGAGAGTGGAAGTAGTGGGAGTGGTGGAAGTAGTGGGAGTAGTGGGAGTAGTGGGAGTAGTGGGAGTAGTGGGAGTAGTGGGAGTAGTGGGAGTAGTGGGAGTAGTGCAAGTAGTGGGAGTATTGGAGTGAAAGTATTGGAGTAAGTGGGAAGTGGTGGTGCCGTCCCCTGGTCCCTTCTCTTTGTAAGTTACTAGAATAGCCGCAGTCTGTAATTGTGTTCAGTTTGCTACTAGTAAAGGACTAGAGTAGGAGTAACAGTAGGGAGTGACAGCAGCACCCTCCAAGTGCTGCCATTGTTGCTTGGCAAGGCAATACTGTAGTATTACTAGTACTGTACCAAGAGTTCTGTAACGAGCTGTCGTAGAGTACAGTACGGCGCCAGAAGTTTTACATATTTGCACGCCCGTCCGCAACAAGAAGGAGCGAAATATTGACCGAGGCTGTCTCTGAGCTCAGATGTTGACGACGGCGGCGGCGCTCATCTCGAAGATCCCCAGCTATCGTCCTTTTCCTCACTGAATCCCTCGTCCTAAAGCCACGGTCGAATGTGGAAAGTAAGACTGCATACCCTTTAGGATCAATCGTACCAGTCCGAACAGGGTAACTTACTGTGTACAGCACTGCACAGTCCTATGCAGCAGTAGTCGAGCGGGGCCTATGGTTGGTTGGTTGGCTCGGAGTGCTAGCTAAAGAGATCAGGCCAGGAAGACGAATATATCTGGCAGTTTCCACTGATTCCAGTGTCTTGCGTCCACTTCTTGCGCGGTTCTTCGTTCTTCCAACTGCTCGCGCTGAAGGTCGATCTATTGTCTAGTGAAACAGGATGTTCGCTCGTGTATTTATGCGCGCGGCAAGGCAGAGAGAGGGCCCTGGGGAGTGGCTTGTACTGGGCAAAACGCTGATGGAGCCCATTAAACCTGATTCTGGATATCCGACTGCTCATCCCATTTCCACGTTGTCAAACCACGGTCTTGATGTTCTTCCGTTTTTCCTTCCTTTTTTCCTTCCCGCCCGAGTGGCCCATGCAAAGCCGGGGATATGGCTCCGTTCCTTTAGCTGGCTGTTCGTTACAGCATGGTTGCATTCAGTGATTGGGTGTGTTCGGATGATAAGCGGATGGTTTTGACGGGCTTGAAATCCTTCAGCCCTACTTGGCCTGCTGGCGAGAGGTAAGTTACCACTATCGTGAGATGAGCGAGACTGGCTGCGCCACCTTGGGCAGTCCCACGTAATCTGCAGTATCGCACTTGTTCCGCGCACCTACTGGTGGCTCCGCGGCGCTACTGAGCCGCGCCTTACGCGTTATGTATGCACACACTTCTTGGAGATGAGCTGTGTGTGTCGAGTATACATGGCGAACTGGTCTGGTGGTGCACGGAGTACGGAGTACCGAGTACACAGAGCTACTCACAGCTGGTCACAGTTCCCCTCTCTGCAAGGCTGATCAGTCTCAGCTATGACTTGGCGCATACACCAGCTTATAGATTCCCGGTAGTCCGCCATTTCCGTGTCCAAGCTCGCTCGCTAAGGCTCCTTTTCAGCTGTAAAGTTAAGCGATGAGCTGAGGAGTATCGCCATCCACAACTCATTGGATGAGAACAATCTCTCCAACACCACTAAAACTACCAAAGTTGATTCACCTCACTTCCCCGCAAGCTATGTATATTAGTTCTGTGAAGGCGATCCATACAATAGCATTCGCACAGATCAGACACGACGTGTACGAGCTCAGAGAAGACCCATATCAATCTGGTCTCGTTTCTCCAGAAGTTGGCCGTTCGCCACTATCACACCGTCTTTGTAAACTTCCAACTCCGAAGAGCGCCCCATGGAACACGATTCCGACAAACCGGACCAGCCCTGAAAGGGAGCGAGCAGACGACTGGGTGTGCCCTCGGATTGCAGATTGCCAGCACATGTCCCACCAAGAACACGATATGCACATGGCATGTGTGTCCAAGCACGGCATGTACGTCTAGTATGGCTCCGCAAGCCCAACCCGGCTCGCTTGGGGGTTCGTAATGTCTTCATCTAATGAAGTTTGGGGGTTTCGAGATGTCAACATGCACGGTATCACTCGAAGTGTGAACCATTTTGATCGTCAACCACCCGCTCCCCCTTCTATCACTTATTCCCTACCTTAATATAAACTCGTGCCCGTCGAAACGGCTGCGAGAAACCAGCCAGTCCCAAGCATCCTTGCTCGCATTCCCAACCTCTTCTGGCGATGTGCATGTGGGTTGCAGATGCAGCATTCCGTCCGCGTCGTGAGGCCAATGCTCTCCATGGGTGCCAAATCAAGTAGGCGGAACGTTCAGCATGCCCACAACGTGACTCGCCGTGTGTGAAAATGAGACAGCAAAGGGGGACAAAACCTGTAGTCTTGAGTCGAGCAAACCATGTCAGGGTCACTGAATAGGAATAATTTGCCGGGTTGCTCCATGCGCAATTATTCTGGAACTGCAACGAGGAGTACCGTGCTCCATAGTTGCTTAGCCTCCGCTGCGTTCCTCTTTGTTGGGAAAAGATACAGGCCCCCCCCCTTCAAAACTGTGTAGGGCCACTAACGACGCCAACGGACTGTTGCTCAACCGCACCTCCGCGGCGTGGTGAGCACGACGTCAAACAGCATGCATGCATGGATGGCGCTCAGTAGCTGCGTCACACCCAACCAGCAAGATTCAACCCATGTGCATCATCTGTGAAAGCCGTCAAATGGTCCTGATACCCCGTGGTGTGCTCCGGCACTCTGTGGCCACTGGGACGAATAGGCTCATCTGATCCAAAGGCGAGGTCGGGGAGTTGCAGCTTCATCTTGGTCCTCTCGGATTCTACAATGCGGTGCCATGGTAAGGAATCCGTCAGCGGACGCCCACGCAACTTCCCATATTGATGATTTTCCATTGTGGATACAGAGGTGAGTGTCAACCGTTTATCCCGCGGTACCCTCCACAACTACGGAGTAGAGTACAGGTACGAGCACTCTTACCATACGAGTGCCACACCGTCAAGGGTTTTGCAGAATGGCCCATTCCATGCGAATGCTTGAGACGAATGGCACCTCAGGGAGACAGGCCCAGTCCGAGTACGGTGTAGTTGCAGTAATCCCCTCATGCCGAACCGTGGAAGTCTTGGCAGAGTCCGATATGGGAAAAAGGGCTGCCTTATTGGTTCCTGGCCGTCGGCGTAGCCAATTTCCCTCTGGTATCATCCTATCCTGCTCGTACATACGCAGGATCTATGCATTGCTCGCGGGGGCCATGAGTAGGAACCGTCTCCTCGAAAAGTATTACCGTATGCAGAATGAGTGGATGGAGCCGCTAGAGCAGTAGCAATATCGCTATGACCAAGCTTACAGCCCTGCGAGCCGACGCCAGAGGAAGTCCTTATATTCGTCGGGAGGAACGATAGCAACGTATCCCGCAGAACGGGTCCATATTCGTTCTCTCTCTGAGGGTTAGTTAGAGAAGCAGACAGGGGCAGCAAATGCAGGGTCCAGGTACACCCCGCCAGCCAGCGCAAAGGGCCAACAGCCTGTCCAACGGTGTGAAGGAACGCATCCTGCCGACGACGGAAAAGGCGGTGGGGGGGTCCAATAGTGGGCAGGCAGCCATTTCCGGGTCCGACTTCATGTTCCATATTGTCGTTACCGTTTCCATGAACTATCCATACTCCCTCCGGTCTTGGGTAGGCTCGAGCGGGCCTCGGTGTCAAATCTACAATACTGGTGCCAATGTTGTCCCACTTAGAGCCTGTGGGGTTGAAAGGGGGCGGCTGAAGGCTGGGAGTCTGAGAGTCTCGAATGGGTTCGGGGGGCCTCGACTGTCTTTTCGAGGTCTGGCTCGTCGTGCCTCAGGCTATAAAAGCGGGCTAAGCGCGGGCGGGGATGAGACTTCTAGAACGACGGGGTGGGTGTTCAGACTGTCCACTCTACTCCGCAACAGTTTCAGCAACTAACTTATAGCTGCTGGTATATCGGACCCGCAGTTAGTGAGGGGAATTCCAGTCCCGAGGCAGGCACCTACAGGGCATCCACAGCAATTTACAGTGGTGGCTGATTGTACAGTACGGAGTACAGTTGCTGAAAATAGGAAGTGTAATTATAATGGTCACGTGTAAAATATAACATTGAGTCACGTGCCGATGGAGGGGTTCACATATTTTTGTCCGAGGCAGAGGAGGGGCACAAGAGCCACAAGAGGGGCAGCACCCGACCAGCAACCATACTATAGACGAAATGAAAGGCATAGGGGATGTAGAGCTCGCCAACGTGAGAGAGAAACAAAGACTAGAGGAAGTAAACAAGGCTATGGAAATGTCTATTGCAAAGGTTCCTGGTGATGAGAAGATTTACGTCAGTGGGTAGGTGCTCATACTTTTTCATACGTCCATTTTCAGCCAACAGCCCTGACCCCCTTTACTGCTGTGTTTACTTCTCACGTGGTTATCCCCTACTATCTCCCTTGTTTCACTCTGTCTACCCTCGTATTCACGCACGTCAGCCCAGACCTATGGAGCATCTGCTGACCTGACCAAGAGTATTTGCCCTCCGGCGGCCTCAAACACTCAAAGAGGCGGGCATAACACACATCGTCTCTGCGCTGCGGTTTAACTACAAGGAGACGAAAGGATGGGAGAACTACACGCACTGCAATGTCCAAATCGACGATATGGACGATGAGAACCTGATCGAGCATTTCCCGACGGTTGTCCAGTTTATCAAAGATGCGCTGGCAGGAGGCGGTGGTGTTCTGATCCACTGGTATGTCATAATTTCATTTCTCCCTATAGAAGTCTCTAGACCCCATCTAACACCCCCCAGCGCAATGGGCAAATCCCGCTCCGTAACCCTCGCCATCGCCTACCTCCTCGCCACCCGCCCCTCCCTAACCCCCTACACAGCACTCTCCCTAATCCGCCAAACCCGCCCCCACGCGGACCCCAACTCGGGCTTCATGACGCAACTCGACCTCTGGAGGCGCTGCGGCTGCACCCCTGACCTTGAGTCCAGCCCTATCTACCAGCGCTGGCTTTACGCCGCTGAAGTCGAGCTGAGCACCGCTATCGGCCGCGCCCCGGACCGTCTGCGCTTCGAGGACGAGGAGAAAGTCAAGGCTGGAGTTACGGAAAGTTCTGATGCGACGAAGGCGATGCGCTGTAGGAGATGCAGGACTTTGCTCGCGAAGGATGAGTATATCGTTGAGCATGACCCCAAGGCCCCCAAAGAGGAAGACAGCATTTCCTCCACTGTAGCTCTTCCGCTCCCCAATCCCGACGCCGCTGCGGCGTCGTCGAGCAGTGTGGCTTGTGGCCACTTCTTCCTGCAGGCGCTGTCGTGGATGCGACTCGCGCTCGAGACGGGCGAGTTGGAAGGCCGCCTGCCGTGCCCGAATCTGAAGTGCGAGGCGCTGGTGGGGAGGTGGAATTGGAAGGGTTTGAAGTGTAGTTGTGGGGTGTGGGTTACGCCGGCATTTGCGGTGCAGAAGGGACGTGTAGATTTGTTGAGTCCGGCGGTGGAAAGAGGGAGAGGTGCACAGGCGGCTGGCGTCAGGATGCCGCCGGGGATGAGGGTGCCCCCGCCCAGGGGCGGGAATTTATAGAATATTGTCTAGCGTGGGAAGTTGCGTATATCTGGTTGGCTGGATGAGAAGGGGCTATGGAAGGGCATGAAATGGGATTCACCATGAAGACTGTGGGATGATAGCAATTGCTTTTGATACCATAAGAGCTATTATATAGGGCCAAGTTATTGGTGGTATCCTCCGTTTAGCATACAAGCCATGTTATACATGTTTCATCATTTCCGTTTCCGCACTACTTCCTTTTCCTCGCCACTTGCATCTCCGCCGGCCTCTGTGGCTCTGGCGCCCTTGCGGCCTCCTTCGCGGCCCGCACATCCGCTCTATTCATCTTCATATCATAAAAGTACTCGCCAAACGCCCCGATAATGTCCTGTAGCGCCCCCCTCAGCCCTCCCACAATGAGATCCACCTCCGGGCTCTCAATATCCCCCGAAACATCCGTCCAATGGACGCCAAAGCTCTTCCTCATTGCCTCCAGCGACACGAGGCTCTTAGTGAGCATCCTGATGATGTCCGGGACGTCCTTCTGCACGTTCCCGTAAATATCCTCCTTCAAACTGGCGACGGCGAAGAGATTCAGCGCTTCTATTGAATCTAGAATGATCCCCGCATCCCCGTAGGGTTGCCCAAGCACTACAGCCGCGATGCGACGCCTGAACTCTTGGCGGAATGGCCAGCCCAGGGGGCTCTGTAGGAACTGCGTTACGTATGGCGACAAGGCGACCCAGATGCCTTGTGGGGTGAGGGCCTGTTGCTGCTCCGGTGTGAGAACCTTGGATGTGGCCTGCGTAAGCAACCTGCGGCCATCGACACTAATAGGCGATGTGGGCGTATTGCCGTACTCTGACGCCAAAGCAGCCGAGCCTTTGGCTATACGCTCTGCTGTAGTTTTTGGTTGCGGCGGGGCACTCCAGATGTTCTCTTTTTGTATGTCGCCCGTAAGTCTGGGTAACGTTGGGATTGGCTCCTCCGGCTTCACAGGTTTGTCGCTACCATTGAGCATACTCACGATCTGAGGAGTCCGGCTGGGTTTGATGTCGATGTGTTCCGTGGGGGCTGATACCGGATCGAGTGTCTGCACACGGGTGTCCATCGATGTTATGGTCTCGGTACATGCAGTTAGTATCTGTGACCATGTCGATCCCCCTTTTCGGTCGATATCTTCAAATATGACCTTTCTTCGTCCCTGATAACGCTCCGCAATCAAGACGAGCTCCCAGAATGCAAAGGCCTATTTTGTGTTAGCACATCACTTAAAACTAGAAACTAGCCTATAACTCACCCTGGTTTGCAGCTTCTTCCCCTTTAGGCCAGTTAAGAGACTTCCATTAGGGTCTTTCGACTCGTATGTGATAGGTCTCCCGTTCTTGAGCGGTCCCTCGGCCACATAGGTTGAGAACACACTGTTTCCTATTTCCCAGAGCAGAACAAGCAGAACTCCGCCATATAATGTCCTTCCCAAGACTGTCCAGTGGAAAGGGCTGATAATTGGAAGGGACGTTGTCTTTGGTAGGTTCCAGAAAATCTTTGCGAATCCAAGGGTGTATTTCCAAGCAGTGTGTCTGATAAATATTGAGTACACGAACGGCATTAGAATTGTCATAATTAAGACACGACCGAAGGCCTTGGCCACTATTCCTGGCAGCGAATCTCGAATCTTCGTGAATGGGGCAACGGATTCGGTCGAGCCCTGTTCCGGCTTAGCTGTACTGTCTTTCTTTGCAGTCTTTATGGCAGGCAAGTCCACGCGATCGTAATCGTATGCAAGGTGGATCGCGGATTGCACAACGGCGAGAACGAGGAAGAAGGCCATAATATATATTGGCCTTTCGTTCAGCCGTGACCGCTCATTGTTTTTGCCCTCGCTGATCCACACGATGCTGGCGCTTTTCGGTGCGGAGTAAATGAATACTTCGCTGAAGATCCAGGCCGAGAATAAGTACCACCCCGTCGTCTGTATGGTCTGGTACCTGAAGGCATATTCTCTAAACGTCGCTATTCCTGAGTTTGATGTCCTTTGTCCAACATGTAGCTGTGCGACTCGTAAGACGAAGATGGAGAATGCGCTGATGAAAAGCAGTCCTGTTCGGAAACCAGCCCGTCCCAGAGGGAACCAGGACCATAGAACTAGGTATAATTAGGTATAATTCTTGGGTTTGAAGTAGTATTCACTAACAAGAGTTCCATTCGCCCAGGAGGAGTGATTCTGCGTAGCATACTGCCAGCAATGTGGCAGCTGCTCTGGTGAAGCGTCTATGGAGGGCGGGCGTAAGAAAGTCCTACAAAGCAGTGTTAGCTTGGCATTTATGTTGAGAATATGCGCCCATTTAACATACCTTATACGGACGAATCCTAGCTGTCGCTGCCATAGTGATGTGAACGCGCCGTTACCAAAGAAGTGGCAGATATTAAAACTAGTGTGTGCCTTCCATTTGGGTTGCTGTGTTGATCTGGAAGCTCTAAACAAATAGTTGGTTCGTGAGTGACGGATTAATGCGGCCGCTTGGAGACCGGGATGTTCCAGCCACGGGACCAAGACCTACGACGCTATAGTTTGGCGGCCGCCTGTTATCGCCATCAAGGTCATGGCGATGACGACCTACACATCAAGGCTTCACGGCATATAGGAACGACTCAACTGCACATTTCTACCACATACATCGCAATCGCCTGAGCAGTAAACATGTCGTTCGATCAGCTATCATCGCTGGAGTCGCAGCCAACAACCACACGATCCGGTGATGCATATACCGACGATCCCGAGTTCTCCAAGTTGTCGAAGGACCTCATGAACAAGCTCTTCACACTCACTGGCAACATCTCTCGACTTTCGAATCAAGTTGCCTTACTGGGCACGAAGCGAGATACCGAACGAGTACGAGAACGAGTACACGATCTATTGGAGGAGACTACAGAAGACTTCAAGAACATTGGAGAGGGCGTCAAGAGAATCCAGTCCTGGGAGGACGTCAGCGTATGATATTACCTCAAGTTCGACCATCAGCAAGTCATTTACTAACTCTACATAGCCATCGCAAAAATACACCCAACAAAAGCTCTCCCGCGAGTTCCAAGCCACCCTCACCGAGTTCCAAAACGTCCAGCACCGAGCCCTCGAGAAGGAACGTACAACAGCCGCCGCAGCACGCGCTGCGCTCGAGGAAGCAACCTGCCCATCCGCCGAAGGCGGCAGCCCTAGTTTTGGGCAACAACAACAGCAATCTCAAGAGCAGCTACGGCTCGCCTCGCAGGATGAAGTCGACTTCCAGGACTCGCTCATCGTGGAGCGTGAGACGGAGATCAGGAATATCGAGCAGGGTGTGAGCGAACTGAATGAACTCTTCAGGGATGTAGCACACATTGTCGGTGAGCAGGGGGAGCAACTCGATACGATTGCTGCTAATGTGGAGAATACGAGGAGCGATACAAGAGGGGCCGATTTGGAGCTCAGGAGCGCAGCGAGGTATCAGAAGAATGCACGGTCGAAGATGTGCATGCTTCTGTTGATTTTAGCGGTTATTCTCACCATCATTCTGCTGGCAGCGTTTGTAGGTTAGAGTGCGAAGATGATATCCAGCGGGTCAGTTTGTTTGGATACGATGGGGCATGGGAGTTAGGCATGCGTTTGAATGGGTGGATTTATTGTATATATTTGATGTTGCGATGGGAGTCTAATTCCTATGTGCTGGTCTTCGTGCTATTGGGAGGTTGATATTCCTCGATAGCTCTTATCAACAAACCTCTTTTACTCCTCTATGTGCGCCTGACCCATCGTTCCCAGATCCATAACTTACGGTTCCGATGTATCCATAACGTCCTCAATTGATTGCTGCTTAGCCGCCGCCCTTCGCTCCTCCTTAAATAGCCTAATTTTCTCCTTCATATCCTCGTCAGGCGCCACATCATCGATATTAATCGGCTGCCTGTTGAATGGATCGATGCCATCACTCAGCATGAGACTTCGAACCGTACTCATATTTACAGTCATTCTGCTAATGGGCAAGATGACCGGTTCTTCCATCAACGTGGCCATTAGTGGATCCAAGAACTCATCAGGAATCTCACCAAGATCCACATCGGCCTTATCTTCAATCTCCTTCGCAGCCTTGAATTTGGCAATTAGCTTGATCCACGCAGCTAGCTCTCCCTTGGATTTTAGAGACCACCGCTCTAGAATCCTTGTTGCGCTGTCGAAATTTGCCGGCTTGTAGGACCGGTCATCTCTAGCCACAGCCTCCACGAACCGCTTCTGATGGCTCAGGTTCAGGTAGATGTCGATGAACTCAGCAAGAAGCGACTTTGGAGTAAAGAAGTATTTTGACGGGTCTTCCACCTTGAGATTGGCAGATTTCGGCCCCACGAGCGTATCCAGGTTGTAGTCCAGCATATCAGCCAAGCGCTGAACGATTTCAGGCATAGCGAAAGCGTCGCTCAACGTTCCAGTGAAAAGCTTCATCATGGAGATTGTCTCATTTGCCAGCTGCATGTATGATTTTGCTTGCCCTTCAAGTTGACTCAACTCCTCCGATTTGGCTTTACGGTCTTCTTCTGACAACGAGGCGGCTGCGTTAGGACTCAAAGCAACCTGCAGATCGTGGATCTTGGGGAACTTGGTCAAACACTCGTCCAGGAGGTACGTCGCATCGTAAATAAGAAGATTGACGTAGCGAACGAAGAACTCGGTGTTGACCTTGCTTTCTTGCGTGAGACGCTCCCGGTATATACTGTTGCTCCAGATGCATTTGAAGATCTGGAAAATCTCATATCGAATGCTAAATTTGTTGTAAAATGCATTGGCGGCACCGGAAAACTCAGACTCGATGTAGAACTTGATGAGAGCATGCAATAAATTGTCATTCGCAAATTTATCCGTCGTCAAAGCATCTCCAAGGACACCCTTTTGCCGATGATACACGGGTATTGTGCCATGATAAAGCAGCGATACCAGTCCTGACTTGAGTGAGGGGTTCTTAATGTACTCAGAGTTGCGAAGAAAGCTGATACAGAGCACAATAATCTCATCTGTTTGCGTGGAGATAATGACTTGTGAGAGGTAGCTGTGATTGGTGTTAGCTCGCCAGAACTAGGCTTATGTGGGAAAAGTGCTTAACCTACTTGAAAATGAACTCGAAGTTGCTGACAATGTCATCAAGCATATACTCCGGATAGTTCTTGAAGACTTCGGGTTGGGTTTCTGGCAACGGCAACCTGAAATTTGTCAGCTTATTCCGAATGGGTCCATATTCCATACAAAGCACATACGAGAATGGTTTCCCCGGAACATAGTCGGAGCCTGAAGCAGTTCGAAGCATAAACACAATAAGGTATCTCATAAATTGCAAGGACCGCGCCTGCATCACATCGTCGAATAGAACCCCCTCGATCGCGTGCCTTAGCCGCATCGATTTTTCTAGAATATCATTATACCTCTTCACATTCAGCTCAATCATAGCAAGCTGCCTCGGGTCCTACTTGTTCATCAGTAACTTTATCTCCAACACATAATTCCAAGACTTACGGATAAGAACCTCGGGCGCTCTAGCTCGTATATTGCTAGTTGCTTCTGGAGACTCAAGATGTCCCTGTCCATTGATTTCAGCTTGCTATTGGCGGCTTCACTGCCGTAATGATGAGCAGCCACTGTCAAGAAAAAGACTTCTGTGATGAAGTTCGGTGTTCCTTCTAGCTTCTCCTCGTAGAATTGATCAGATGTCTTCTGGTCAGAGTTGAGCTTCGTCTCGTCTTTGATATCAATTCTTGGACTGCGCCTGAAATAGTCTGGATCGATCTTGGACACCTTGGAAAATGTTGAGTCCATGAATGGCTCGCAAAGCCCATCTAATACCACAGTAACGTTCATCATGAAACCATCAGATGAGACTTGCCTCTCATCGACCCTGATGGCTCTGCGCTTATGGTTGGCATTAACAATCCAAGCAAACCAGTCCAATGTTCGATTCCGCGAAGATGTACTTGCGCGCACGAACTGATTTATTATGTCTAAGAGGTCTTTCTGGTGGTTGTTAAGCGTCATTCGCAGGGCACTTTGCGAAGTGACAACAAGGGATTTGTCCATGGTCTTGGGTGATGCAAAGTAAGATTTGGTGACTTCAGTTTGCAAAACCGATATCCGAAAGAAGGGGCCGAGGATTGTATGCTGTTCTATGCCATGGGCGGAGGTGGCCATCAGAAACACGGGGTCTTCTGCAACGGCTGTTGTGATGACCGAGAAATGAGTCAAGTTCTTGAGAGCCTGCACATATGGTTTGTAGTTGTCGTTCATTGTCATTCGCGACAGTTGAGTGCTGAGCTTGATGACAGCACTCGTAAACATTGGTGTTACAGACTCATCTTCATCGACCCGGGAAACAGCTTCCGCCAAGAACTCGGGGCACAAGCCTCTATCATCTTCAGGATCCAACAGCAAGTGGGGTGTTAAAGAGTCCTTGTAAGACGTCTCATCACGCCCGTATAACTCCGGCATGGTCAGGGCGAAGATGCAACTACTCATGCACAACCGCTTAGCTTCTTTCAGTATCGCATCTTTTTGCTGGGCTGGTCCTCTCAGGCTCCTGTTCGACCTCATAATTCGTTTCCAGCACGGAAGCAAGTACTCCATTATGGGCTTGTTGTGGGGAATCTTCGAGCATACTTCCATCAATATGGAATCGAGTGCACCGAGGGATAATCCGACATGCTCTCCGCTATCCTCCAGTCCTTGCCTCACATCTGGGAGGAATGTAAGCTTATGACCCGATGAATCTGTTTTGTTCTCTCCATCCAGCGTGACGCGAAATATGGTCCTAAGTACCCTGTTCTCAAAGCCCTGGTGCGATTCGTCTGTTGCTTGAGGCGTCGCTTTGCGGGTCGGCGGCCCTGATAACCCCCCCGATGGTTCCCGCGGTCTCTTCCCCGCCGCATCCGCAGGAGCTATCCTAATAGTTGTAGATGAGTTTGAGCTGGCTGGCTTATCTTTCGATTTGTCGAGCGGGCTCTGTGAGCTAGGTGGTGGTGGCGTGGCCATCGGTGGCTTCGCGGCCCTGGGCGCCAGGACTTGCGGTTGTGATATAGGTGTGTCTGTAGCTGACGGCGGGTTTGATCGTGAGGGGCCAGCTCCCGGAGAGGCGTTTCTATCTGGAGTCGTTGACCCTCCTAGCTTCTCGAGTCGTCGTCGTCGAATCTACGATAAGCCGCCGTCAGTGAGGTGATTCTGTTGAGATTGGAGCTTACTGACCTGGTCCATAGCCTCCTTGTCAGGGGCATCAGGGTTATTCGCAGGTCCCGGTTGCGGGGGCCCATTGTTATCCATCTTTACTCTGTGCTTTCGTAATAATAACGAAGTAGAGTATTGGTGGGGGTTGGAGTCGTCGTGGTACTTGTGTTTGGCGGAGCGTTACTATCAGCCTAGACCCCGGTTTGCCGATGTCATTGCGCGGTTTTGGATAAGTTTTGGTTGTCGCCTCTAACTTAATCTATCAAAACACACCGTTGCTGACGAAGCGCCTGAGGCAAGGGAATCTTCTGGACTCTTCAAATGTGAGATGGTAGGTGCAGTACAAGGAGTGAGCGCGGGGTATTTACTCAGCCAAATGTTGAAGGGGCGATCTTTGAAACTGTACCTGAAAGGGCATTTGATACTCTTTAATAAGGTCTCACTCTTCAAACTAGTGTCATTCCAGCGAGCTTTTTTACGGCAATACTGTACAATAATCCAATAGACCTTACTTATTCTCTATAAACAACATGATGATATGTAAAAGGTCCTTCCGCCCATATCCGGAACGCCACGCTTTGCAACAAAAACAGCCCTTATTAAAAGGACCCTTTAGGTACTTGTCCCATCGCTTCTAATTTCCTACATGCCTTCATCCCCATCCCCCGAGCCTGCTTCATCTTATCAGGATCCTGGAAGAACCAGCCCTGCGCCTCATTCACAACTCGCTGCCTCCTGTCGACTTCGTGCTCACACTCTATCCTCAGAGCCTTCGTATAGGTTTGTTCGGCCCTTTGATCCAGCTGCGAGAATTTCTTGTTCGAAAAATCTGCCACCTCCAAGGGATTGACATAATAGTCGACATTTAAGTTCTTACTTAAACGGTGCAACGTATATGGTGGGTCGGGATTGGTGAAGCGGAATTGTGGTCCCGCGGGCACGCTTTCGCCCCCAGAGAATAACGAACTGAGCAGAGGGACAATAAACAGTATCAGTATAGGTAGTAGACCAGCGATGGTGGATCGTAAAGTTTGTTCGGGGGTGTCTGCGGCGCCAGCTTCTCGCGGTCTCCTTTGTGGTCTTCCCCCGCCAAATTGGTGTACGCGTATACCAGGGCCTCCTCCCAAATTAAAAACGAATTGAGGACCTGCATCGAACATGCCTCCGCCTGGAATAGTTAGTAAACGGCTTCAGTATATATGTTGGGTTGGCAATCAGTACCTCCAAAGCCACCACCACCAAAGCCACCTCCCATGCCACCTCCAAAGAACCTATTAAACATTTCCTCCGGACTTATTTCATCATCCCAACCGCCTCTCGCAGCGCCTGGGCCACCCCCAGAGGGCGCCCTCCCTCCGAATCCACTGAATGGATTCGACTGTGGCGCACTGCTGCCGCCACCAAATCTGCTATCCGGGTCGCCTCCAAAGCGATCAAACTTGTCTCTCTTCTCCTTATCGCCCAAGACACCAAACGCCCGACTAACCATCTTAAAAGCCTCATCCGCATGCTCATGTCCATTCTTATCCGGATGCGTGAGCAAGCTCAGCTTCCTATATGCCTTCTTGATCTCACTCTCCGTAACAGTCGACTTGACGCTCTCCAGGTCCAAGATTTCGTAGAACGCCGTGGGCGAGCATCTCCGCACCCGAATCACCGCCGCCTTCTGCTCAACCGTGCATTTCCTGTCCTGGTTCCCCTGGTTGTGGTCCCGCGACTTCGCTCCACTGCCCTTGTCTGCTCCGGAGGCTGTAGCTTTAGCGGACATGTCCGCCTTTCGCGCAAAACGTTGCTCGGTGCGATACTGGCGGGGACAAGCTGCCGATATATCTGCTTCCGAAAGGGCGATCTGAAGGAATTCGCGGGATTCGGATTTCTACAATCTACGTATATAGGTGGTCTTTTGTAAGCCTGGGCATCGCTAAATATGCAGGGGGGGCGTTGATAATGCACGTGACGATCTATTTCAATGACGGATGAGGCTGACAACGACTTTTGCCCATATATAAAAAAGCTCGACATAATGTCTGTTAAGGATAGCGACGTATCGGGTGTCAAGAAAGGTGCATGGCAATTTGCCAAAGCATGGGGCAGTGAGTGAATTGAATTACCTGGAGGGAAACTCCCTGATGATGAATGTGATGCTAAAATACACCCAGACTCCCCTCTTCCTCCAATGGGACTAGCTACGCTCGTCACTGCTGTCCATGCTCGGCCATTCCAGGCCCTACCTATGACTGTACCTGCAGTTCTACTTTTCTCCACCTACCTGAATCTCAATGATTATGCCAAAGATGCGGCCGGTATTACTGCTGCATGGTCCGGGCTTTATCTCGTGCTCGCCAACAGGAGGAAGTCGGCCAGGTTTATCTCTCGATTCGGAGCAAGGGGCCTTGTTAGGGGGAGCGCCATGGGAGTTGCGGCAGTCAATCTAGCTGCCTGTGGAGTAACTTATGCATTAGGTCGGGATGCAAAGGAGGAGGAATAGAGGCACCAGCACTTGTATATTATGTATTATAGGTGTAATGACGAAATCAAACAATGGCGTGGCTCTAGCAAGCAAATCATCAAAGTCGCATGTATAAAGCAGATCATGGGAGTCATCGACTGGTCTGGGGCATAGGAGGGTTTGGGCCGTTAAAAATGTCTTATTTTACAGTATTCGAATACAAAATTCGAATACAAAGTGCATATAGGACTGTATTGACTAAATACCCTCGAAACGCCCGTAAACAACAACCTGGCCTTTGCGCTCTGCATTACCAGTCCCCCGTATGAAGCTTCCCAAACCGAAGCCATATCTTTTTTTACACTCCAAGCAAATGCTGCTCTACGCTATGCTCTTGCTCTAGAATCATGCTATGCGATATCTGAAGACTGTCAAAGTACAGAGGACGAAGATGAATATCGTGAAGACCGCGAACCGGAACGTTTTATGCGAACGGGAGATGGGTCGAGGCTTGCTGAAGCTGGCGGTCCTCGTGGTTTTTGGATCGATAATTCCGACCAAGCTTGCAATCTCGAATTGACGGATGTAGTTAACGTCAACTTGACGAACTTTTGGGTGGGCGTAGGATGTGTACTCGCTGACCGTGGATTCAACGGACCAACCCAGGACTTTGCGGATAACTGCAACTGCACAGCCAGTTCGATGCTGGAGATACGTTAATATATTGCCTCCTCGTATATGTTGGGCAAATGATGACTTACCCTGCCTTGGTTGCAGTGGAGAAGAAGCGGGTGATTCTGGCGATCCATGACAACTTCCAGAATTGAATTCATAACAGGCTGAGGAATCTCGACTTTCTTGGTGCCTTCCATCTTGATGACCACATGGTTGATTCCACTTGACTGCATGAATGTCTGGTAACCTTCTGGGTAATCTTTATCCACCAAAGTGCTAAAAATTCCCGTCAGATCCGTCCAGAAAACAGCTGGATAGTGGCACTCACACGATAGTTCTCAAGCTTAAATCTCTCAAGAAGCCATAGTCTTCCGCTTCCGGGTAACCACTCCTGTAAATTCCGGGGAGAATGGTTCCAAAATTGCGAGGGCGACCGTACATCTTTGGATTCTCCACAACCTCGCCCTTGAAAACTAGGGAAATATGTCAGCATCTCCTGATTTGGGATATATATAAGGCTGACAGATAATGACTAACCTTCTTCAGAGTCACTCCTTGACACCCTTTGAAAAGTAGTGATGATTTCACCGTCAACCGGCGCCGCCAAGCTGGACATAGAGGACGTGCGCGTGTGAACCAGCATCTCCGTGAGCCTGGTACTATCCCTCTCCTGGGACTTCTCGTCTCCTTTCCTAATATAGCAAACGCCTGCGTCCGGCACGGAGTCCTCGATCTGCCTTACGTCGATATCGTTCTCAAAAACCCGCGTGCTCCGGCGCGCAACCATGTTCATGCCGTTCTTTCCGTCCGCCATCTTTTGTCCACTCTAGATCTCTCGTGTCTAGGTTCAATAACCCCCTACAACAGTGTATGCAGGGCTCTGGGTGCAGCGTGGAGAAGGCCGCTACTGTAGCAGGGGCCGAGTTCTACGACTGGTTTGGGGCGTTTTGGACCATGTTCAACAGTCGTTGAGCAGCCATGATCAGGGAGTGTGTGACGTTGGTTGCCAAGTTTTTTGGGGGATGGGAATGTAGTTGGGAAGGAGGGCTTTTGAAACGTTGTAGCAGTGAAGGTTTTGGAGACCCAGAGGCCGGGGCGGATGTGTATTTGTAAGGCTGTTAAAATTAAATTGTGATGTGGGCAGCAGGGTAAATAGGTTTGTTTGTACGAGTGAGAAAAGGTGACGCCATGGAGTTGGTTAGTCTTGAATGCATGGAGCTAACACGAACTAAAATACCTTAATTATTCCCGACCGGCCTGGACGAAACAGGTTGCATACCAAGTGTGCCGACTGTTAAGCGATCGGACATTATAATAACGTGAGCCAATCCAGGTGTGTTTACGTCCAAGTATCTGGGGCAATAAATATGCCCTTGCGCACTGGCGTGTGTGGGTGATGCTCACTCGCCGAGGTCCGATTCTGGGCAGGATGGAGGGAGGGGTAGGTTTACAAGGACTTGGCAGGTTGAGAGAAGAAGAGAAAGATAATATCGGACTTTGAAGTACTGTATATATAGCATAATAAATGCAGCATCTCGTCAGTGCCGTCACACACGCTGATATCATGCAAGGTACTGATTCCGACCCTGGGTTGCCTATTCCTTGCAGCCCTGACTTCCTACCGGGATGCAAGTTTTCATTGGTCACAACTGTCACCAGTCTCACATATAAACGCCATATTATTATAATCGCGTGGGTGGAAGCGATATGCGTACGCGAGAAGGATATGGAAGCGATGTGCGCAAGTTAACTTACACCAGATCGCTCTTATGTACTGACGCCAGTTCACCGCTACCCCTCACCAAAACCCATAGCATTGCCGTACATAGTATTTTACATACTACCTTAATGGAATCAATTTAATGGAAGGGACTCCTCTATCAAATGCCCGTTAGTGGCTAGCAGAAAACCCAACTGAGTCTGTTGCTGTTGCCTCTCGGGTTTTTCATGTAGGGTGCGTCATGGGGAACCTGGACCACCGGTTCCCCTGGACCAGACCGGACCATGTTCTGGTCAAATTCTTAGACCGCGGTCTGGTCTTGTCTGAAGCCTCCAACCATGGTCCCCCACCGGTTTCTTACCAGACCGGTCACGGGGTTTGGCATGCCTATAAATCACGTGCGGGGGTATTTGCGCCTTAACTGTTAAGAGGTGATTGCGGAAAGTGGGAATTACACACGGATTTGTATGGTAATCCCCAACCACCGTAATTGATTCCTTGCGGGTAACGGTGCAGAAGCTTCACAGTAGAACACGGTAAATACAGTATATAGATCAAATTGAATTACTACCTAATCTACGGGCCTACGTACGCTATTTGTAGCCCTGGGGGAAACCCCCAAAACCCTGACGAGCTGAGCTTTCCGGGCTTCAGCTGGGTTTGGATCAGTGGCTTCCAATAGTATGGCGCCACTGTCTCACCCGTAAACTAAACTGGGAGTTGGACGATCCCACGGGGATAACCCGTTATTTTGGGTGTAAAAACCCACTGTTTCCCAGCGGGAAAGTCCGTTTCCCTCAACATTAACATTTTAAGTGGATATATTCATGTAATTTAGACAGATAAGTTGGTAGTTGGCAATTACTATAATTGTTACTATATACAGTACTAGACCACTGCTATTAACCGAATTCCAATTTGACGCGTAAATCGCGTCGCGTAACCCACCCCCCCTTGTACAACAACCATAATTATGCCACCAACTCGGAGGGCTTTGGCTCCAATTGATGGGAATCGACAGCCTGGTGGCCAATTAAGCCCATACCGGGCAGATTATTGGGAGGCAGTCAGAGGGTGCAACACCTACTAAGATTGCACACGACCTAAACCTTGACTGAAGCACCGTACGATATACAATTGCAGTTGACTCAATACGCACTGAAGGCAAGAGCCTACCCCGTACACCATGGGGAAAGTCATATACAGAAGCAGAGCAACGCCTTATACTCCACCATGTACGCCTAAACCCAAAGGATACATACCAAGAAGTAAAGGATGCTTGTAATGTTGCTTGCTCAACATCAACTATAAAGAGGATACTACAAGAAGCAGGCATAGGCAATTGGCGTGCAAAGTGTCGCCCTTTCCTACTGCCAATACATGCAGCTAAACGGCTTGCATGGTGTTTAGCACGGAGGAATTGGACAGCAGAGGATTGGGGTCAAGTTGTGTGTGTCATACTGACATTAGTTGCACTCAGTTTGCTATCAAACTCAAGAGCAAACTTAGAAATCTCCTCCTCAAACCTACAAGTCACCATACATATCTTGGCTTATCACACCAACAACAGAAGCAATACTACTCAACGATTGCTGCAAACTCTTCTACTACATCTGTTTATGCTACATACATCACGGCATATCATTTGAACACTCATTGAACAAGTTATTAAGAAAATCTCCTCCTTAAGGGGGGTGGGCCAATACTACCACATGGCATATCTCTACCAACTAGAGCCTAGGAACATGAACGATAGCTCTAGAAGCTTCTACAACCCTCTATGATTCATTACACGTCATCGCTCCTTAGTTACCCACAAGATTGGTTAAGTTATGACATAATTTATCTATAGGTACTCTGACCTTGGACCTCCTTTTCACTTCCTATAGGCTAGGAACCCAAGAGATGGTTCTATGGGATTCTCTTACGTTCACTACATGATTAGCAAGCTAGTTGTGGGTCGCACTTGATTTCTAATACATTTACCAAGCCTGGTTAGTCATGGAAAGTCATGGAAAATGAGAGAACTACACTCCTTTGGCATAAATAGGATTGCCCTTTCCTTAAGAAAGGGCAAGCAGACAATACAGTAAATCGACTAGCACATACTTCTACGTCTTTTCCAAGCTTCCAAGCATTGATCTTGTTATTCTCTGTTTTTGAAAAGTCAGTGAGGTGCTAACCTCTGACTTACCCCTGAGTTCTCAGACTCCACATTTGTTGCAACTTGTCTAAACCACTTCACCACATCATACACCTGATTGCTGCGTTGTGGAATAGTCTAAGCTACAACCCTTTGGCTCTGTTTCCTAAGACAGTGTGTTGTCTTAGTAAATTCATCCCTTCCTTGGGTGGCTAGATTCTCATATCTGGTGCACCCACCATTACAGTGTGGAGTGATGAGTGCTTCTGTTGAGCGGGGGCGGGGTAACAGGAGCGAGTGGTGTTTCCACACACCTGCTCAGAAGTGGCAGCGGGAGATGATCCAAACCTACAGTACAAAGAAGAACATGAAGATCATGGTTTGGGGGGCCTTTTGGGCAGAAGGACGGAGCAATTTATACCTTATGGACCGTGACTTTGAGTCAAAGAAGTTTGGAATACTGCAAACTCATACCATGAGGTTCTAGAAGCAGAACTCCTCCCTATTTTTGAGAGTCTTGACTCTAGCTACTCATTTATGCAAGATAATGCTCCTATCCATACTGCGGGTATGGTTACAGACTTTCTTGAGGAGCATATGATTACTACACTCTATGGGTGGCCGCCCTACTCACCCGACCTC